TTCAGATGCCTCCTCAGGACCCTGTGTCTGGCTGGCAAAGCTCCATCTTCAGTCCTTATGACACGTTTTCAGTCTTAGGACACCAAGCAGGCCTTCATTTGCCTGACTTCCATACCTGCTGGCTCCTCAGTCCACTAAGACTTTATCCAAAGCAGTAGTATTGCAATTCCATGAAAAAAAAAAAAAAATCCAGGCTGTGATTGGCTGTGGGGAAAAAATCATTGCTGAGCAACAACAGGTGGAGGGAAAGTCCAAATAGCAAATGTAGAAATAGGCTCCTGTTTGGTTTTGATTTTTTAACGTTAGGCAGAAAAGAAGCAGACCGAGACTTTAGAGGGATAAGCCGTGGAGAAGCATTCGGGTGTTTGCTGGCAACTGTAAACAAGCAATTTTCTGTCTGTGACATAAGGAGAAAAGGCAGGCCTCAAGGCACAGTCTCCCATCCCACCTGTGTGTGGAGAGCTCGGACACCCAGCCTCCCTAACAGGGCCATCGCAGGAGCTAGTGCTCTGTTCCAATGATCTAGACAGAAAGAGTACTGAAGAGTCTTCCTTGAAGAGACAGAGGCAAGTTGTCGTGCACAGAAGCCCTTCAACTCTTGGCACGAACACTGTGGATTTATTTATAATCTGGCTCGTGTGTGCGTGCCTGTGTGTGATCATGTATGCAAGTATGGATGCCTGTGTGTGTGTGTGCTGGAGCTAGGGGAGGGCCTGCTCTCTCACTGCCGCTACCCCTTGTTCCCTTGAGACGGGGTCTCTCGCTGCACCAGGAGCTAGGGTGGAGGCCAGCGAGCCGCAACAATCCTCCTGTCTCAGCACCAGCGTTACACGCATGCTCAGCACACCTGGCAATTTTTGTGGTTACCAGAATCCAAACTGGGATCCTCATGTTTTCACAGCAAGCGTTCTCGGCCACTGAGCTGCCTTTCCAGTCTGTAACCGGGTCCCTTTAGCTCAGCCCTGGTCATGTTGTTTTTGCAATTTTTGTGCGTATTAGGAATTAGAATGGTAGAGGCCTCTGTCAGTGTCCAGCTTGGGGATACTGTGCCACTCTGGAGGTCACCAGACTTGATGGGAATTTTCCAAACTGGGAAAAGGGAGGATGTTAATGAATGTTCTGAGCAAAAGTTCACAGCTGGCCTACTAAGGCTTGGAAAGTGCTGCTTCTGCTGTTTCCCTCTCGATAGTCCTTATTGTACTGAAGGACATTGCAAAGAAATCTATTTAATGGACAGTCAAGCATGTCTTTGTGCCGGGGAAGACCTTTGCATCGATAGCACCTACAGAGTTTGGAAAACCCAGGGAGGAGGTTGAAGTGTCCTGCCCCATAGCGCAACAGTGTCTACTCTCATCCTAAACTCCTAATTGTTTACGTGTAAGAACCTCCAGCCAAAGGGGTCCATTGAGATGCCTTCTGAGTTGTTTTAATTCTTTCTCTCTCTGTGTCTCTTTCCCTATTCTTTTGAGAAAGGCTGGGGCTCTCACTGTGTAGCCCAGGACACCCTTTAATTCATGATTCTCTTGTCTCTGCCTTCCAAGTTCTGGGATTACAGACATGCTACCACAGCTGGCTTGATATCTCACATTTTAGGAAACGGCCCACTCCATACAAACAACCACTATGAAAATTTCCAACTCAAGCAATTTGATACAGACCTTGGGTTTTGCACAAAAATACCAGTTGCATCAGCCTTCCTGCACAGTGACTGTGGAACCCCAGGATGGGTAGTCAGAGACTCCCGAGGAAGGAAGCTGAGCACAGGTGGACCATGAGCCCAACACACCTTGTTCTCACACAGGTAGACCACAAACCCAGCATACCTTGTTCTCACACAGGTAGACCACAAACCCAGCATACCTTGTTCTCACACAGGTAGACCACAAACCCAGCATACCTTGTTCTCACACAGGTAGACCATTAGCCCAACACAACTTGTTCTCACACAGGTAGACTATAAGCCCAGCATACCTTGTTCTCACAGGTAGACCCCATGAGCCCAACACACAATGTTCTCTGAAACCAACAAGAGGGCCTGGGAATGAGTTCAGACAAAGGTCAGTTTCAAGACTGGATAGAAGAAAACTGAAGGACTTGGGAGATGAGAGTTTATACCTTCTTTATGTGGGGGAGGCTAGTCTCATGTTAAGAGTGGGTAGGAGAAGCAGGGTTGAGAGTTTACAGTGAGAATGGAAACACTGAAGAATGATAGACAATGCCATGAAGACCAATGTGACACATAGCTGAAGACTCACCTAAAGCTAGAACTGATAACTGTCTGAAGGCTCAACAGTTCTGACTACTGGTTAGAACCTTGTATGTGAAATTGGAAAGGATAAATAGTTGAAATGCTGCATTGTTAGAGACGGAGAGAGCAAGGCTGATGACGATGTTGAAACTATTGTCCTCTGTGCCCACAAGATTAAAGTGAACTCAAGAGGCTCATAGATGAATTTGAGGACAGGTGTAGTGAGTTTGGAACTGTGGTAAAGGTGAGAAGAGACAGGGTTGTAACTTGTCATTTCCTGTGGCTGCCGTAGCAGATGTCTAGAAAACAGACACCAGTAAAACACCAGAAAGCGATTCTTTCCTCAGTTTTGGGGGTGAGTTTGCGAGCAGGGTTGGTCTCTGTATGTTCTGTGAAGGAGCCCAGCTCTGTGCCCATCCCGTCGCCTCTGGTGAAAACTGTGCTGTTCTTGGCCTTCAGGCTTACTACTTTACCATCTCAGCTGACCTGCTTCTCTGTGCATCTGAGGTGGATTTGAGTCCCACACACTTCAGGATGTGGGGCTTCACCTTTAGATCTTCGTGGACTCTTCCCCTCAAAATTAAGCCACACAGGTTCTATTTGGATGCGACTTCGGGAGATTCCAAATTAAACTCGTTTCATGGCCCTAGAATACATTTCAGGTGGAACGTTCGAAGCTGTGACAGTTTCAAGGACGAGGCCCAAGGACTGGCTGTGAATGAGAATATCTAGAGGAGAGGAGAGAAAAACTGGTGATGGGGTAGAGGTTGGAACTCTGTGAGGCCGGTTGGAGGTGACAGGAGGCAGGGAGAATGCTGGGCATGGCGAGTCTGGGCCCCACTGAAGTGCGGGTGTGGATGTTTTGGGGGATGGTGAAGTAAGCTGTCGGAGGGAATGTAGAACTGGGGAGATGGTTTGTCTAAACTCTGCTTTCTCGTTGGGCCTCACCTAATTCAGTGTGAACCTTTAAAACAACAGACCTAAGCCCATAATATTTGTAATTAATTGGTTTAGGGTAGAGCCCTAGATATCTTTATTTAAGCAAGGGCGTAGGGGAGAAGGAAATAAGCTAAGAAGGAGAGAAGCAGAAAGGAAGAAAGAAAAAGTTGCATCCTTATGTAATGTTCACTGTGCAGCTGGTTTAAAGACAAACTGTGACCTTCAGAGAAAAGCAGCAACTGGGAACAAGGGGTGTTCTTCGTCAAGGCTAGCGAGAGAAATATCCGGAAGGGAGACTGCAGAGCTGCTACCTTCATCCCTTGAAGTCCCAAGCAGAGCCAGAAAATTAAAAAAACAAGGGAAAGACGGTTGCATTGCCCGGCTCTGGCTGAGGTTGCTACCAGCCTGGAGAGGTCTGTGCTTCGTGCAGCCTACACAAAGGATGCATTTCAGATGTTTTTCCACAGAAGACGCCAGAACTCATTTCTGTAACAGTTGCTATTCTTGCAAAAACAAGCCTTTTGCTCCTCAAAAAAAAAAAAAAAAAAAAGAAAAGAAAAAGAAAAAAATTTAATATATTTAAAAAAATATTTTTTTTTTTTGGCCAGGATAATAGTCAACGACTTACTTTGTATTTTTGAATACATAATAAACACATTAAAAATCTCAAGCAGCGTAAAAGATTGTACAGTCAAATGTAGTTCTCATTTATCCCCGATTGCCTAGCTCTCCCCACCCACATACAGTTCTCCCCCCAGCACTAACTACAATTACCAGAGCCCGTGTCTCCCTCCTGCGGTAGGATGCCGTATGGCCTTTCTTCATTATAGAGGATGGGGTCATCCTTGGTGTGAGGCCCCACAATACCAAACTCTGTGGATGTTGGAGTCTTTTTTATGAGATGATGTAGTATCTCACCCTCATGTAGTCTTTGAATCAACTCTGGGTGACTGGTTTATCATGCAATACAGTAATATTGTATACAGAGAAACATCTGTATATATTTAGTACACGTGCCCTTTCCTGAAATATTTTTAATTTGTGTGGTGTGTGTGTGTGTGTGTGTGTGTGTGTGTGTGTACAGATCAGAGGACAGCCTAGGGTGTCATTCCTTATCTCTCACCTTGTTTGAGGCAGCTTCTTTTGCTTCTGTGTCACCATAGTTGGCAGTAGTGGGTAGTTCCCACAGAGGCCTATATGACCTGGCCAGCTTGGGTTCCAGAATACTGTAGGCTAGGTTCCTGTCTTTGTCTTCCTACTTCCCAATGAAATGGAGAGGTCGGCTCTGGGTATAGACCAAGCTAGCTGGCCTAGAGCCTCCATAGATTCCCTATCCCTGCCCTTCTTGCACAGGAGTGCTAACATTTACAGACATGCAGATACCCATCTTTACATGGATTCCAGGGATACACACTCAGACCATCTCACTTGCCTGGCTTCCCCGAATGTTTTCAATCCACGACTGACGGACTCTCTGGCTGTAGAACCCACAGATACAGAGGCTCACTGTGTGTAGACAATCATTGTATAGTAGTACATGCAGATTCTACTGGGCTTCACCAGATGGTTAATTTGTTTTAACCCATGCTGACAGATACTTAGTTTGTTCCTGTCTTGATGAAACCCTTGTTAAACATATTTTTAAAAAGATTCGACATTAGTTGGAGTGAGTTTCTCACCATTTAAGAACCTAAAATGGGGTAGGAGTGAGGGGCCCGCGTGGGTCAGCAAGTGGAGGGGGCTAACAGCAGCACCCCCAAAACAACCACACTCTCTGATGATGTGTTGCTTCTGCTCCCCTCCCCCCCCCCAGGAGCCTGATGCCGAGGACCTTGGAGACCCAGATCACACTGGAGAAGACGCCCAGCTATTTCGTGACCCAAGAAGCCCCTCGACGGATCTTCAACATGTCGAGAGACACCAAGCTGATTGTGGTGGTGCGGAACCCAGTGACCCGAGCCATCTCTGACTACACGCAGACGCTTTCCAAGAAGCCGGACATCCCCACCTTTGAGGGCCTGTCCTTCCGAAACCGCAGCCTGGGCCTGGTGGACGTGTCATGGAACGCCATCCGCATCGGCATGTATGCGCTACACCTGGAGAGCTGGCTACGGTACTTCCCGCTGGCCCAGATCCACTTCGTCAGCGGCGAGCGGCTCATCACCGACCCAGCCGGCGAAATGGGGCGCATTCAGGACTTCCTGGGCATCAAGAGATTCATCACAGACAAGCACTTCTACTTCAACAAGACCAAAGGATTCCCTTGCTTGAAAAAACCTGAGTCGACTGTCCTGCCTCGATGCCTGGGCAAATCAAAAGGGAGAACTCATGTACAGATCGACCCTGAAGTCATAGACCAGCTCCGGGAATTTTATAGACCTTATAATATTAAATTTTATGAAACTGTTGGCCAGGACTTCCGGTGGGAGTGAGTCTCTGAGGTACAGGGGCTCTACTCTTGCGTCTTCCACGAGGTTTGCTCCCAGAGACCCTGATCCTCACCTCCAGCCCCTCTTCCCATCTTGAATCCCATGATAGATCATCTTGGAACCAGGAAGTTAAATAAAGACCAAGAGACTGGTGGTTCCCCGCTCTGTCCAGGAAAATTCTACCTGCTTCTGGCATACCCATCCGGTTCTAGAATCTGCTCCCATCTGCCCAGAAGAGGTCTTGGGGAATCGCTGTGGAAAGGTGGATCTCCCAGTGTCGGGAATGTTTCCAAGCGGAGATGTTTCTGTTGCTGTGAGAACAGCAATCTGTCAAATCTCTGAGCACTACTCAGTGGTGGCCTTCTTAATTCCAAGTGGCATGTCTCTTCTCCCTGAGCTTAATTTCCCTCAGCAGCCCCAGGTGGTGGGATGTCAGAAGGCCCTCCACCCTCCTCAGGACACAGCAGCTCATCAACAGTGCGCAGAGCCAAAAGCAGCTCCCTGGCCGCTCCAGGAGATGGACTCTGTGATGACGAAATGAGCCTGCGACTTCAAAGCTGGTGGTCTCCACTGTGCTTGGAGGATGCTGTCTTCAAAAGAGCCCTCTGTGACTCTTCCCTGCTCCCTGTGGACAAAAGCACATAATTCTGCTGTTACGGGTACTTTCTTCACACGAGCTTTCATGTTCAGCATGCACGGAACCATGCTTGTCCATGTGAAATAAATATGGCTCTCTCGTGTCCTTAACACTGAGTGTTTCTCTCTGAGCCGGGCCTTCAATTCACCAGTAAATGCCAGTATAAGAAGCAGTCAGTGATGCAGAGGTTGTGGGGGGATCGTCAAAGGTGGGTGGGGGTGTGAAGACTGATGGTGTAAAAGCCGGGGCGGAGAAGGGGTGGGGTTCTAGCTATAAGGAACTGGTACAGAAAGATGGCAGAGAGAGCCGCCAGGAATGCATTTACTCTGTTTATTTGCCTTCAGTGCTAGGCATTGAACCCAGACTTTTGTACATACCAGGCAGGTGTTCTGAATCACAGCCCAGTCCCTTTTGCATTTATTTTCTTTTTATGTAAGCCTGACATACTTGGGCGGGAAGAGTATGCCTATGTTTGTGTGGACACACACGTGGGCACATCCATATGAAGTCCAGAGGTCAGTCTTTGGTGTGAGTCATCAGACTGCCCATGCACACTGCTTTCTGGGACAGACTCTCTCACTAGCTTAAGGCTTACCAGTTCAGAGACTGTTTCTCAGGCAGGCTGTCCACCCTGTTTTCTGTTGTTCTTGTTTTTGTTTGTTGGCTTGTTTGTTTCTTGAAGCAGAGTCTCTTACTGGCCTGGAGCTTGTCAGTTAGGCTTAGCTGCCTGAGGGAAAGCCCCAGGGATGACTGGATAATATCCGTGTTTAAGTACTTTTAACTGAAAATATCAAAACGAAGGGTCAAGGACTGAGGAGGCATGAGATGTCTTTGCTTGGTAAAACCTGAAGTTCTGGAATAGTTGTCACTTGTTACAAACTGGACATTTTTTGGTATCAAAGTATGGGGTTTCAGCTTCTTTAAAAAAAATCTGGGAACTTGGCTCCATGAAACCTCTACTCTGCCTTTAGAATTGGTGACCTCTTTGGATGGGGACTCACTCTTGAGCTTCCCGACTCCTACATGGCCCCTTCCTTGATATACATAATCTCCTTGGCTCATGTAGGTAGCTCCCAGTCTTGTCCTGAATGTCCCAGACTCTCAGGATGATGTCCAGTCCCTCTAACACGGCACCCATGGAGATTCCCAACTCCCACCATCCGGCTCGTCTCCTGCTTCTTTCTCATCCTCTCCTCCAGCACTCCAGAATTACAAGCCTTCTTGTGCCCTTTACAAGTCTCCACATTCTGGTCATTTGCTCTCTTTTGCTGTGGAGCGCTTACTCTCCTTCCTCCCCACAAATCTCCATCTCACTTGAAAGCCAGGATCCCAGTAGGACTTCATTCAGGTGACACTTGCTTGGCATTTGTAAGCCGTCTCCCTCCGCTGACATCAGCTGCCCCCTCTCCTGTCTTTACTTGGTAAACTGTCAGTTATTACACAACCGTTAGGCATTTAAATGTGTTCCCACATAGACCATGAACTCTTTGAAGATCAAGACTATTTTATGCCAACCTACAGTAGTCTCACAACAAACGTATAATGGATGGATGTGTAGGTGGGGGGGTAGGTGCTGAAGATGAGGGACGTGGATGGTGGTGCGCCAAAGAAGTAAACTGCTGCATGCAGTATGTTTCCAGGATGGCTCCATGGTCCAGGATCCAGGAAGCACTACAGAACCTCCAAGGGCTTCCGCGTTCATATGCTCTGCTAGGCATTATAGAGGTGTTAACGGAGTTTTAGGGCAAAAGCCCCAACAGGCTCAGCTCAGCCACCTGTCCCAACAAACCACTTAAGAAGGTGAATAATGATAAGCAGAGAGAAGAGTTTGGGTCCATTTACATTGGAAAGAGGAACAGAAAAAGGGACCACAGGACCCCAAGTCCATCTTCAGGGCACTGACTAAAACTTTAGGTTTAAACAGAGGAATAGTTGCGCAAAGGTGTCATTCTGCATCCTGTAGGAGCCTGAGACTTGTCGGATACTCTCCCAGGAAGCATGGGATCGGAGAGCACCAAACTGGAAGTTCAAGCTCCTCTGACAGAAGGTCAGGGCTACCTCAGTTTCTGCACAGAAAAGGGTGAAGCAGGGGTCAAAGGAGCCAGGTAGCGTGACTTGGGTGAGTCAGTGGCTGTTTTGGGAACAGCTAGTAATGGAGGTTCAGACGTCAGAAACCTAGAGGTAGTGGCAGGAGCCTGATTTGGTGCAGGCAGACAGAATAGCTGGGGGGTGAGGAGGGAGTTCAGGAGGAGAACTCAGGTATGGAAAATGGTCAATGGTTGAAATCTAAGGTGCCAAGACAGCTTATTAGCATGGAGGAGGGGTATTTCCAGGGATCCTCAAGTGTACACTGAACGGGTTTCTTATAGGGAAAGAGTTGGGACTGTAATCTCTCTGAGAGCTATGTGGCACTCCTTAGAGGATCTGGGTTTTCCCAGAGATGAGGGAGCCCAGCTGAGGAAGGGAGTCTCTCATTTTAGCACGGAGCTCAGGGGCTAACCAGTAATACCAGATTTCAACCTTAACAGCAGGGTCCAACACCAGGAGCCAAGAGCTACTCCATAATTATGCTGCCCTCATCAAGTTGCAGCTGGATGCTCTTGCCCAGTTCTGGTTCTGCAAGACGGTCCAAAGACAGTAAGATAGGCTTGACATCTCGTGTTTCTAGGCAGACAGGCAGGCACTGTGAAGCAAACATCTTGCAGACAGCAGATGACTGTGCCCGTGGCACTGAGAAGCGACTACGTGAGTTTACCCCAGTGGACCTGAAAATGTAATGTAGTTGACTGAGCAGCCATTGCTTCCTGGAACCCTGACTCTGAGCCACTGGTGAACAGAAGGACAAACTGTATGAAAGCAGCAATAAATCTCTCTATAGCATCTCCCACTGAAATGTGTTCAGTGTCCTGATAGCCTGAGCCACACTCTGGCTGAAGCCTTAGCCAGGACATAAAAGAAGACCCTGATAAAGGGTCAGTTAAATGCAATAGTTTACCTCAACCTGGGGGAGTTCTCTAAGAATCTGTGTGCAGATTCTCTCATCCCCATGGCCAGCATCCACAGAAGGCCCAGGCTCGGCAGCCATCCCATCTTAATGAATAGGTATGTCTGCTGTGATTAGCATATCAATCATTGAATGCAAATGGAAGATGCTAAGGCACCTTTAAAATCCTTGTTTAAGTGACTGAAATCCAGAGTCCATGAGTCTGCTCAGCAAACTCTGATTTTTAATCCAGTGTAAATGTTCCCTCTCACTCAGGCTGCCCCAGGGCAGAGTTGCACAAGTCCCAAATTAGTAGTTTAAATAGAGGAAGTTTGACTACTGCCTCTGAGACACACACACACACACAGAGAGACAGAGAGAGACACAGAGAGAGATTGTTGAAACCAGAAACCCAAAGAAGTACCTTAGAAGACTCAAGTGTGACTGTCCGTTGCTAGTATCTCAAAGCAGGTGGCTGGCTGGTCTTCAATACCAGAGATACAGAGACCTCATACCTGTAAGAATTCAAGATGACTCAACATATGTCTGCTTTTCACTCCACAGGAAGAGGACAAGAAATAAAGGCCACCCTAAAGAAGCAGCAGCAGCAGCAGCCCTACTGACTCAGAGCTCAGCTCACTAGAGCACGGGCTCTTACATTAGGCAGAGGCTCAAAGTCAGGGGGAAAGCTTCCCCATGAACGAAGGGAATGCAGGATGCAGGCGTACCCTGAGCAGAGGCTGCTGGCACTGGAAAGCTCTCCAAAGTTCAGTTTGAGGGTTGGGTTTGTCTTTCTGTGGTTGGTGCTGAGTTGAAAGGGAGGAGAGATAAAGAGGAGCTATCACGCACTGACCAAGTCCAGACTGCAAGCGAGTTCCTGCAGAGACAGTGGGTCAGAGTTCAACTGTCACAATGGCTGGCTTTTGCCACCTCCAACACCATTTTCTCAGGACCCAAAGAGGGTTCAGGAGAAATCTGTCTCTTCTATTTGAGCGTATAGCGTCCTTTCTACTTCTCTTTTAGGTTACAGTGCTCTTTCTTTCTATTCGCAGCCTCCTGGTGGTACGAATAGTTCACCTGAGGATTGTACAGAGCAGTAGCATTACTTTCATCCGCTCCTGCTTCGGTAGAACTCAATCCCGTTGCCACATTGCTAGGTGCAGGGAGGCGGGAACATGTAAAGTATTCTGTTACAGACACAGAGAACAGCAAGAATGAAGGGCCAGCTTCCTGTCCCTGACACAGACTCTTACTCACAGAGCAAAGCTCTGTATGTGTGTTCCTCTCTACAGTTCTTTGACTTAGTTTGTGAGAATGCTTCTCCTCTCCAGTGGAATGTGGCTCAGTCCTTGCTTCTCTTGCCCTGCCTCTCCCTAAAAGCTGAATGAAACAGGCTGAAGAAAGCAGCCCTTCAATGGGATCCACTTCAAATTCTTCTTTCTTAGCTATATGACTTTGGGCAAATTATTTCTTCTCTGGAACAATTTAATCATCAGTTAATCAAGACACACAAGAGGTTTGTGTGGAGATTAGGTAGGAAAACTCTCATTTGGCACATGGTAGGTCCTCAGTTTGTTCTCATTCATTTGCTCCCTGGCAGCAGAGCCTGCCACAGCTGCTAGATTCCTGCCAACTAAGATGCCCTGCGGCTCTAACCAAACTGAGCTCATAGCAATTTTCCTCATCCTGTCTCTTCTTATGTACCCTGAATGAAGTTGCTCTTACAAGCCAGGATCAAGTGGCTCAGTTGAAACTGGTTCAGAATAAACCCAGCCTAATCATGTTGCTTTTATCTCTGGGGGCTGTGAGAACAAGCGTAAGTACCTTGGCCTGCGCCTCTAAAACTCTTACTGCATTTTGCCGCTGTGCCGTGAGCAGGTAAATGTACTCCATAGGACCAGTCTTCTTAACTGGTTGCTCTGCTGACAACTCTAGTTTAAACAAAGAATCAGTGTCTCTTAAAGGGGGGTATTGATTGCCCAGAAACATTTATCTTGCTCGAGTTATTGTTTGAGATGAAAAGAACCTGGACATTGCATTGTGGGACATCCCAAGAACCCTAAGGAAACAAATATTTTTATTTGGGTCAAAGATACATGTATCTTTTGGCTACCTAT